CCTAAACCCTAAACCCCACGGTTTAGAGAGCACGAGAACCGCGAACCCTGGGCTCCCGGCGCATGGGAGAGCTGCTTTCCTGGGCTCTCAGACTTCGCGGTGGCCGAAGTTCACGGTTTAGGGTTTAGGGTTTAGGGTTTAGGGTTTCGGGTTTCGGGTTTAGGGTTTAGGGTTTAGGGTTTAGGGATTAGGGTTCCCAAGGCCCTAAATTCCCCAAAATCGCTAAAGCTTCTAAAGCCCCCTAAACTCCCTGAACTACCGAAAACAATCCTAAAATCTAAAGCCCTATAGCCCCTAAACCTCCTAAACCCCACTAATCTCCCTAAACTACACAAAAAACTTTCAAAAAATCTGTAAACTCCTCAAAACCCCCCAAAACCCTACCAGGGGGCTCTTGAGGGGTTTAAGACCCTGCCATGCGTCGAGAAGTGTCCAGCTGGGCCTTGAGCTCATAGGTCTCCGACATCAAAGCATCCTCGCACAGGGGGTTTAGGGTAGAGGGTTTAATGCTTAGGGTTTAGGGTTTAGGATTGACGGTTTAGGGCTTACTGTTTAGGGTTTGGGGTTTAGGGTTTGGGGTTTAGGGTGTAGGGTGTAGGGTTTGGGGTTTGGGGTTTGGGGTTTAGGGTTTAGGGTTTAGGGTTGGTTCCTTTAAAGGCCTTGTTATAGAGCCCTATAGTACCCTTAAATGGGACCTTGTCATGGCGGTTCCTTTAAAGGGATCCTTTAAGGGATACTGTAAACGTCCCTGAAGGGTTCCTATAAGGGTTCCTGTACGGGTTTCCTTTAGGGAACGGTTGCTATAAGCGTTCCTTTAATGGTTGCTAGAATTTATCAGAAACGGTTACGACAAGGGAGGCCTAAAAGGGATCCTTGCCATGATCAAGGTCTGAGGTCTAAGGGTTCAGGGCTTAGGGTTCAGGGTTTAGGGTTCAGGGTTTAGGGTTTAGCGTTTAGGGTTCAGGGCTCAAGTGATCAGGGTTCCTGACAGGGTTTGATTAGGATCCCTTATTGAGTCCCAAAATAATAGTACGGCACCCTTATGAAAAGGACCCCCAAAAAGGGACACTAATCTATAAGGCTTCGTAGAAGGGCTCTGTAAATGCTCCTGGTCCCCAGCAATGCCTGAAGGTTCTTGGGCTCTTGGTTGCTTCGGGCCAAGGATCTGCAACGTTAGGGGGGGTTTAGGGTTTACCCTTAGCATCAAAATAGCCCAAAAGCCTTATATAATAGGATCTTTGGGCCCAAAAGCCTTAAAGTATGAGTCCTGAGAGTCCTAGGGTTAGGGGTTTGGAGTTTAGGGTTTAGGGGTTTGGGGTCAAACAGCTTGTCGATGTCACAAGTGTTTTCTGGAGGCTTCTCGAGGTTTGGGGCAGCCATGGATCCTACGAAGGCTCAGGGCACTGCTGACAACTCGACGCTCAAGGAAACCTGAGATCCGAAACATGTGGCTCTCTCATGTGTGTTTCCCTTGCATGTTGGGGAAGCCGCAAACTTGGCCCTACACCCTAAACCTTCTATAACCTTCTCAGACAACCCCAGACATCCTCAGACTCCTAAACACTAAACCTTAAGACTTAAACCCTAAACCCTAAACTTGAACCCTAAACCCGTAAACCCGAAACTTAACTTAAACCCAAGCCCCAAAGCCCTCAAAACGAAACCCTAAGCCGGACGCCCGAAAGTCCCCGAAAAAACCCCAACTGTGGTGCTGGGTCCGGGTTTGGAATTCAAGATATGGGGTTCGGTTAAGGTGATATAATATTACTCATCTTATTATTATTGATATTATTGTTTTAAACAAAATTATGATTATGACTCATGATTCTAGATATTATTATTGTCAATACTGTTCAAAAATGATTAGGTTCCACGCTTTGGTCCAGAACTTTGGGTTTAGGGCTCGGGGGTTTGGATTGAAAGAGCTGGAGAAACGAAAGTGCAAGCATGGAAGCACGGGTCCCATTCGCTTTGGAGGAGCGTCCTTGGATGCTGGCTGGCCACACACCGAAACGAGGGCAAGCCTCCAACCTCGCCCACAAACCCAAGTCCCGTCCCAAAGCGCAAAGCCCAAGATCCCAACTTCCCTAATACCGGGGCCTTAAGAATTAGAAAAGGGTTTTGGGGTAAGGAGCCCCCAAAATAGTATAGGTGATTATTATGGCCCCTACATTACCCCGTCAATCCCCAACGTCTTCAGCCCACCAACTTGAATCAGGAAACTCCAAGCCCCAAATCTTCGTCCGAAGTCGTATCCCTGATGACCAGCATAGGCATCAAGACAATGATAGCCGCGGCATGACCAATTATGTTGTCAACAAGGCAGGCATACCAGAAACAAGGCGCAGCGTGAAGGGTTCGCTGATAAAACCTGAACGCTAACCCCTAAACCAACTCCCGATCTAAACCCTAAACCCTAAACCCTAAACCCTAAACCCCAACCCCAAACCCTAAACCCTAAACCCCAAACCCCCCCGCAAAAAAACCCTAAACCCTTGCAGCTCAGGGGCAGCATGCCCGGAATGCTCGTCGCGGTGGCCGGCCGCGGGCGCACGGACTTGTTGGTCTTGATTTCCATGAGGTCATCCTGGTAAACGGTTTAGGGTTTAGGGTTTAGGGCTTAGGGTTTAGAGTTTAGGGTTTAGGGTTTAGGCTTTTCGGTGCGATTTATCTGGCGACTTCTTATTCATCCTCCTAATTACACCCTGAAACCCTAAACCAGTCTGAAGAATCAACTCTACCGCACCCAAACGGTGCATGTACGACGTTCCTCAGGTTGACTTCCAAGCGGTTCGGGCGGCCATGAGACCCAAGGAGCAATTTTGCTTGGAGGTTCATGGGACTTAGTAAGTACTGTCATAAGTACCCTAATTGGGTTCTCTAGGTATAGTTACCTTATTTATAACCCTAGTTACTAAGTCCCATGAACCTCCACGTCATCCTTGACGATTCACGCTCTTGGGCCCTCTAAACCCTACGCCCCAAGCGACCCCAAACCCTGAACGTTACATCCGAAACCCCAGGCCCGGAAGCCTTGGGCTACCGCCGCAGCCCACAACTAAAAGCAAGAAGGGCACGGAATCAACACACATCCTAAACTCAGAAGCTTTAGATCTTCAGCGGACCTCGAAAAGGACTCCCCAGAACATAGCACGACACACTGCTGAACCCTCAGGCCCCGAGCTCCAGCTCTAAACCCTCAGTCTTAAACCCCCAAAACCTAAACCAGGCCCTAAACCCCAAACCCCAAAGCTCTGGTCCTTGGTGATTTCTTCCTTCGTCACGGGGCACTTCCCCTCTGCATCGATCTGCTTCTCGATCAGCCTGGCTGGGACTTGGTATTCTGTTTTGCTCTGTCATATCAAGAGCGGATTCTTGCTGCACAAAAGAGGGAGACCACCGTCGTAATCAGAGCCTTGTTATCAGACTCCCATGGTTCGCGCAAAGAATCCTTGGAAAGGCGACCCAAATACGAACCTAGACGTGGCGTGCGCTTCATCTGACCCACGCATTGGCCAACCCTCGTCCTTCCGAAGACTGACCCCGAATGACCCCATCGAAGTAAAGTAGATACCAATAGAAGCTGTGTGAGTTGGGAGTTCTTCAGGCTATTCGGGGTGTCAGACTCTCCTCAGGGTTGAGGGCATAAGGCTTCACTAGTCACAGAAAGAACGCTAAAGCCTAACTCTCAAACCCCAAACCCTAAACCCTAAGGTTCCTAATCCCTAAAGCCTGCGCTCGTAGATGTGCCCTGTCTTTGGGGCGAAGACAGGCTCCTGGTGTCATGAGAGATCTCTGGCTTGGTTTTGGTTGGCCTATTCGGGGCTTAGAGAGTTTAGGCTTAAAGGGGCTTTAGGGCTCTGGGTTAAAAGGTTTAGGGTTTTAACTATTTGGGGCTTAGAGGGCTTTGAAAGGGCTTTCTTGAGGGCTGGGTTTTCTCTTGAGCGTTACAAGCAGAATATGAGTTTTTCTTGAAGTTATGGTGGTCCCCACAATCAGGATCCTTCTGTTTAAGGCTTTAGGGCTTTCCTTCATTCTGTGTTTTATGAAACCTCAAACCCGAGCTGCAACACCCAAGTAAAGTCGCAAAACCCCAACCTAAACACAAACAGCCAAGAAAGCATTGAACTAAGCTCGAGGCAGCCCATAGTTGTCTTCAGCAAGGGGTTTGCTAAAAGCCTAAGCCCGAAACCCTGAGCCAGCAAAAGGAACTCGGGAGGCTTCTTCTTCCAGGTACGGGCTTTCTTGCTCAGAGTTGGGTGCTGCCGATTCATGGGGGTTCAGGATGGTTCAGGGCTTAGGCTTTGGGTTGGAGTTCAGCTTCTCCCAACACGTCAGGTGTGGGTTCCTATTTCGGGTTTATGGCTTTGGTGTTGTTGTAAATATGGCAGCAGAAGGACTATGGCAGTAGAAGGACGGAGATTGCGGCCTGCAAGTTGCTCAGGTGTAACAGGACTCTGTTGGGAATCAACATGGCTCCGCACACCCGTCCTCGGCAGCATTGCCCGATATCGCACAGACCTGAGGCAGCGTGAGACACAGCACATAAGGACCCCAGACAGGCGAGTAGTTGGAGAAGTCTACTGCGCATGACCATACTGGAGGACGAAAGTTTGGCGCCCCGCTTCCCCCGCAGAACCCTAGCAAGCAGGACGCCCCAAATACCTGTCTATCTATCCTCTGTCGATCTAACTAACTAGCTAACTCAGCTAACCAACTCACTCACTCACTGGCTAACTACCTATCTAACTAACTAACTAACTAACTAACTAACTAACTAACTAACTGACGAACTAACTAACTAACTAACTAACTAACTAACTAACTAGCTAAATACATAGCTTTAAATAACTATCTATCTATCTATCTATCTATCTGTCTGTCTATCTATCTGTCTAGCTATCTATATGCTTGCGTAGATGTATTTGTCATGGGACTGGTTATTCATGTTTGATCGTTTCGCTACTTATCTAGCCATGTATTTGCTTGTCTATCATGATATGATCTGATATGATATGGTAAGGCATGATGTGATATGGTATGATGTGATATGAGATGGCATCATATGATATGGTATGATACGATATGATGCGAAAATATGTGATACGATATGATGCCGTACAATGTGATATGACACGATGCGACATGTCATGATATGGTATGATGCGATATGGTACATATGCATGTATGCATGTATGTATGTACATGCGTATGTGTATACATATGTACATCCGGAAATACAAGAGTATGCAGGATGCACAGGAGATGCTAAATGTATATACATATGCACTCATCCGGCAATGCCAACTCAAAGCTTGTCGTAAACACACCCAAACCCTAAAACCCTACACCCTAAAACCCTAAACCCTAAAACCCTAAACCCTAAACCCTAAAACCCTAAACCCTAAAACCCTAAAACCCTAAAGCTCTTCAACGAATCATCAGCTCTGAGGCGCGGGGCACGTGGTGCCAAAGGCTCCAGAAGTCCAGGATTTCGGTTTGGGGTTATATCAGTTTAGGGTTTAGGGTTTAGGGTATTTCGGTTTAGGGTTTAGGGTTTAGGGTTTAGGGTTTAAGGTTTAGGGTTTAGGGTATTTCGGTTTAGGGTTAGATCAGTTTAGGGCCAGGGCGGCTGGGGTTTTGTGGGGGTGTGGGCTCCTCACAAACAGGCTCGAGCGATGACACGAACGGCACGCAAAAGGATGATAGCCTCTGAACCCTAAAGGACGCTCTAGATGGCAGCCGGGGGACGATGGTCGACATGATCGCAGCGGCCGCCGCAGCTCACGCCCTACCCGCAGCCCTGAAATCCACCCAAAACCCCTGCGATCCTTCCTATGTCGGAATCCTGCAACCCTGCACCCTGAACCGTTTCGAACCCTGAGGCTTCACCAAGGATCCCCTCACTTCCGCCAGCTGCTGCCGCTGTCTGAGCCCAAAATGGCAGCAGTCCTAGAGACGAAGCCGTCAATCCCCTGCCGATGAGGGACTGCAGGGTTTAGGGTTTAGGGATTTTGGGGCTTTTGGGGTTTAGGGCATAGGGGTTTAGGTTTGGGTTTAGGGTTTAGGGTTTTTAGGGTTTAGGGTTTTTGGGTTTAGGGGTTTAGGGGTTCGGGGTTTAGGATGCAGGGTTGAGGGCTTTGAGTCAGGGTGTAACAAGTTCAGGACATGTTGGATCAGGACAAGCACAAGAACCTGATGCTTCTTCCTCCTCTCCCCAGCTTAGCGCGAACAGAGAATTAAACTGCATTATACTACACTACATGGTATTACGTCATATCACACTAATAATATTAGCTTGTATTACAAACCCTAAGCACGGAAGCTCCTTGAGTCCGGAAAACACATCCCAAAATCTATTATTGGTGTCATTAGAAATCTTCGCACATGTTGTACAATGACCTCAGCTTGGAGCTTAGGACCTTTCCGGGATATCGAACACAACTCCAACCGAGTGCAATATTTTCATTACCTAAGGACAAAAAACCCTGAACCCTAAATCCTAAACCCTAAATCCTAAACCCTAAACCCTAAATCCTAAAGCCTAAACCCTGAACCCTAAACCCTGAACCCTAAACCCTTCTATCCGGCGACCCTTTCGTTCAAAACGCCCCACAAGCAGAGAGTGTGCCCAAGGGCCCCCGAGCCACACACCCCACAGGCCTACCGAGGGTCGGGGAAGAACCTAAAACCCAACAAAGACCGCAAAACCCAACAACCCGAAGCCGAAGCCACCCTCAACCCTCAACCCAAAACCCTAAACCCTCAACCCAAAACCCTAAACCCTCAACCCTAAACCCTCAACCCTAGACCCTAAACCCTAAACCCCAAACCCCAAACCCGAGCCTAGACGCTCAACAGCCTCAACTTTAAACCCGGGCTGACCGAGAGCCTTGGCGTGGCGGGAGGCCGACATCCGAAACCACAGAAAAACTCCCAGCGGAACTCCGAACCGACTTAGTCAAGGGACTAAAGGAGGGACCCTGAAAGGGACCCTTGCGGTTATATAGGGGCTTCATGAGACAGCATAAGGGGTATATAAAGGTTATAAAGGGTATTTGGTTTAGGGGTCCTTTGTAGGGGTCCCTCCTATTGTCCCTTAGCTTAGGATTGAGGGTGCGACTTGGAGGGCAAAAGGCTGAATTCCCCAAAACGATTCAGAGAACCTACCAACCGGCGTTTAGGGTTTAGGGGTTTAGGGTTTCTCAGTTTCGGGGTTTAGGGTTTAGGGGTGCAGGGTTTAAGGATTTCGGGTTTAGGGGCTTTTTGGGTATGGGGGTTTCGGAAAGCCTAAATCCTACCCAGAGACCCTAGATGTCTGTGGTGATAGCACACGGTTCTTGGATCAATGGAGAATGCTTATACCAACTACCTAAACCCTAAACCCAGAATGCTTATACCACGTGTTGCAAAGACAAGAGCGCCTCCAGGTAGACCCTCCTCCCTCAACCCAGACTCCAAGATCAGTTGATTCCGGAATGTATATCTCTATCTACAGATACACACACACACATGTATGTATATATATATATACATATGATTATTTGTGTATTTATTTATTTACGGTTTAGGGTTTAGGGCTAAGCGTTTAGGGTATGTATATATTTCACCGACCTGTACTTGTTTATCGACAACATGTCTTCCTTACACTGTAGAGCCATCCCTGCTCCAACTGAGTGTATAATGCTTGCATGGGGCGGCTATCTGCGCATCTCTCCGGGTTTCCCCTTGACGAATACATGTAATTTGAGCCTCAAAGACTGTAGGGTTTAGGGTTTAGGGTTGAGGCTCCGTGGTACGGGAGCAACCCTTCCGGGAACTCTTGTAAGCATCTGCAAAAAAAAAACTAAACCCTAAACCCAACAAAAACCCTGAAAGATTCTTTCGGTTTCAGCGTGGCTTGGAGCTTCGAGTTCCGGGGCCCGCCACGAAGCCCTCAAACTAAACCCTAAACCCTCCCTTGGAGTTTCGGGGCCTGCTATGAACCCCTCAAACGAAACCCGAAACCCTAAACCCCAAAAAGGGAAGGGTTGGCAAGAAGTGGCTCGGGCCCCGGCGAAGAGCGCCCCAAGCCCAGCCAGAAGAGTGCAGCAGCCTCAATCGGTGCCCCACCGCAAAGGTAGTTTAGGGCCGTAATGAATAGTTTTGGCATCTGACGTACATTTTAATGGGATCCTAAGGAACAGTATTGGTAGGAATTTGTGAAAAGGGTGCTGCAGTGGCTTTGTAGCTGTGATAACTAGACGGCTTTGTAAGGGATTTCACGCCGCGTCTTAGCCAAGTTTCAGTCGGCCTTTGCTAGACAGTTCGGAGGCAACCGAATT